CTTAAGAGCACTTGCTGCTCTTACAGAGTATCTGGATTCAGCTCCCAGCACCTATGTGGTGGCTTACAACCATCTGGGGGATTGATGCCCTCTACTGGCCTCTGCAGGTACCAAGCATTCATGTGGTGCACATACACATATAACCCTTTTTAAAAAAAAAAAAATTCAAATGTTGGTGTTACCCAGAAAAAAATGTAACAAGTTTATTATAATTACGATAAACTACTGAAACTTGCTCAATGACTCACCTTGAATTGTGTTAGTGTTTGCTTCCTGAGCATCCTCGTTTCATTTCTGTTGCGATGAGAAAATGCCCTGACAAACGCGACTTGAAGGGAGAAAGGATTGACTTGACTTACAATTCTACGTTCCCGTCAATCACTGGTGGGAATTCATGGAAAGAACTTGAAGCAGCTAGTCATGTCCACAGTCAAGAGCAGGAAGAGAATAGAGATGTGCATGCTTACTCGTGCTCAGCCCTCTCTCTACCACGATACAGTCCAGGATTCCCTGCCTAGGGAATGGTGCTGCCTGCAGTGGGCTAGGGCGTCCCACATCGATTGACTTTAGGAATCAAAGCAATCCCTCACAGACATGCCCAGAGACCAACCAGATCCAGGAAACCCCTCATTGAGATTCTCTTCCAGGTGACTCTGGGAATGTGTCAAGCTGACAATTGAAACCACCCATCACAATGAGTGCCTATATCTTTAACTTCAGAGTTTGGGAGACACTGCCTTTCATTATATATTCATAACATTGCTTAAAAACAAAGATATACTCAAAGAACTAATGGAAAACCATGGTTAGAACTTTTTTTTTTTTTCTGGAGCTGAGGACCGAACCCAGGCCCTTGCGCTTGCTAGGCAAGCACTCTACCACTGAGCTAACTCCCAAACCCTGGTTAGAACTTTTTAAAAGTAAATAGTACAGCTGCACATGGTGCACACCTATAATCCCAGTTTAGGAGGCAGGAAGATCAGAAATTCAAGGCCAGCTTCAGCAGCATAGCAAGTTTGAGGCTGGACTGGATTACATGAGACCCTGTCTCAAAAATCTGACAAACAACAAAAGTAAATATAAGTGATTGTCATATCAAGGAAACATGCTAAGTAGTTGAAATTTTTCCATCACTTAACATCATTTGCTGAGTGATACATGCCTAATAATGATGGGAACTGGAACACACTTCCCCATCTCTCAGCAGTCTGACATCATACCTTATGAGACTCTATACATGAGGCTTTTATGAATGGATTCATCCATGGGTGTGATTAATGGACCAATCAATTAATAGTTTATTTCAAGAA